GTCGGTGTGGATGTGTGAGGACGAGGGGGTTTCTTCCACATTTATTCGAACACATGTTCTTTATTTCAATCTTCTATCCAGTTCTGCAGCAGCAATAGCGTGTTTTAAAACACAAGGTTTCAGAGTGTTTTGGGGTTTTGTTCGTGTTTTTATCTTTTGTGTATTTAGCAGTAACTCAGGGAAGTCCAGGCACTGAAAATTAGGTGTTAGGTTTTCATGATCTCTCAGAGCACTTGCTCAGTGAGGTGGGGGAAACATGCAAAAACAGAATCCTATCAACTCAGAACACCCACAGGCACCCGGACCTGGGAAGTATCAGAACCTCTGGGATCATACCACTTGTTTAGGGCAAGGTGGGGTGTTGGCATTGGACTAGAAGAGAGAAGGCAGCTTTTGCAAAAGAGGAAACGCCTAGCCAGAATGCTTCAAATCGTTTTTGCCTGTCACCCTCATCTACATGCACTTGGCTTCAGTTTTCAACCAGGAGCCTGTTCACGTGCCCAAGATTTGCCTTGACCTGGCGTAAAAAAGGTGTCCTCAGTGTGAGTGTATTTTTCCCGAAAATACATGTCCGCCAAGCTGAGAATCCGGAAACATCACTAGGGAGGGAACAAAGACGTCTCTGAAACCACTTGAAGGTGAAAAATAATTCCATAGGAAGTACAATGATCTTAATTAAATATTAGCTGTAATTAGCCCAAAGTGCAAATGTTGGGAATATTAATTAGGGTCTCTCTGGAACAGCTGTCAGTGTTAATAAGTAACAGTGGGGGGTCCCACCAACATCTGTCTAAGAACTCCAGGAACAAGAGAGCAATACAGTCCCGTGGACCCGAACGCTCCCCGCAAACTCCTCTACGTGCGCAGAGTCCCGAGAGTCTGCTGCCCTTGGCTTGTCAGCATGGCACAAGGTTTGGCAGAAGTGGGTGGTTTATCCTGAGCTCTGGTGCTGCCTCAGTTGGCCCTTGCCTTTCCTAGGGTGGCCTCAGGGCCTTCTGCAGCTAGGCCTTGAGGTTGAGATGGCAAACGTTCCCCAGGCTGTCGCTCTGACACTCCCCACGGGTCACCCCCCAGTCTGGCTCACAGAACATCAGCATCTCTTCATCAGATAGGCCAGCGCCTGACTTCCTCCCAGGGCATAACCACCACCAGCTGGAGGACAGGACTAGAGGCCATGGTGTCTGTGGCCGAGAGAGGTTTGCTTGTTTAAAAATGGGAAGAAGCCTGCCCAGCAGAGGACAGTCTTGCCAAATGAGAGACCCCTGGGCACAGGAGAAACGTGGGCCTGTGTTCAGCTCCTGGCCTCCCTTGCCGTGACCTTGCAGAATTATTTCCCAGTCTGGGGCTACGGTATCCATCACCACACAGTAACATGGGGTTTAAGACGCAGTGTATGCAGAACAGATCCTAGGGCTTGGTGCCATGAACACTTGGGGCTGGGGAATCCTCTGTGGTGGGTGCCATCCTGTGCCTAGTAGGGTCTTCAGCAACATCGCTGGCCTCCACCCACTAGTGTCTCCAGTCATTGCCTAATGTTCCCTGGGGACTGGTCACCCCATTTAAGAACCACGAGTGCAAAGTGCCCAGCGTCGTGCCTGGCACCCCATAGGCCTGAGATGAAGGAACTGTCACTCAGTTTGTCTTTGGAGCACCAGATAGGAGGGGACGTCTTCCAGATGGGGTGCAGAAGCCTGAGGCCGTGATGGGTCTCCTCCTCCTAAGGCCACCTCTGCGGAGTTTAAAACATGTGTGTGTGCATGTGTTTACAGTTTAGAGATCTGGTGAGGGAAAGTGAATTCCGAAGAAGATTCTGACTCATGCATTTTGCACCCTCCTCAACGCTGCCCATCTCCAAGTCTAGCTGAGCCACCCCTCCTTTAGGTAGAACACACCCACTTTCTCTCTTCCTGCTTCACTGCCAGCTTTGTATCCAGACCAAACTATTTATGCAATGATGACTTCTTAACTGGTGTCCCCATATTTAATGACAAAGCTACCACCATGATGAGAAAACATTTTCTGCAAGGGGCCAAGTAGTTTAATAGTTTAGGCATTATGGGCCATATGGTCTCTGTCACAACTGCTCAACTCTGCCACTGTGGTACAATGAGTATGGCTGTGTCTCAATAAAGCTTTATTTACAAAACAACCCACGGGCCAGATTTGTCCCACGAGCCAGCCTATCTCCTGTTGCCAGAATAATCTTTCCAGGGCCCCGAGTTCATATGGGAGCATGCACACATTTACTTAGCAAGCACCGTTGATTCCCCCTTTGCAGATAGCATGCTGCTGGACACTGGAAATGGAGCAGAGAATATGACAGACCCCTGCCTTGGGACTCTCACAGATAAATAAGCAGACAATAGCACCTCCTGGAGTTATGGGAGATGTGGCTACAAGCTGCAGTGCAGCATGAAGGACAGTCAACTCATGTGGCTTAAGTGACAAGGCAGGCTTCCTTGAGGAGGCAGCTCTTGATCTGGGACCCAAAAGAGAAGTAGAGCCTAACCAGGAGAGGGAGTCAGGGCTTTCCAAGCCAGAGGTGGCAGCGACATGCAAGACTTGGTGGTATTGAGAACATGGAGCGGGCATAGGTCTCCTGAGGGCAGGCCCTTCTCTTTCCATAAAGAGCTCAGATCGTAGCAGAAAGCCCTTTGTGGGACTGGGTCGCCCTTGCTGAGTTGCCCTGCAGGGAGGAAGGACCACGTGCTCCTACATGTAAGGTGTTGTCTGCTGGAGGTGGAGGGGGGAAACTTTCTCCTGATGTGACCCTCTCTCTCTGCATCATTTCATGCGTCTCTCTGAGGCCACACCTGGAATTTTCACAAGTCTTTGAATCCAGAGATGAACCAGGACCAAGGTCGGGGAGGTGGAAACAGACCCTTTGGGCAGAAATAGAATCTGACACATATGAAGTGCTCTTTGGAGGGTTCGCAAGGTCCCAAAGGTTCTGGAGCTTCCTGTAAGCCAGAAAAAAGTGGTATGTGGGATTTCTGTACACAAGGATATGTTCCTGGAACAGCCATGTAGAAGAGGAGAATGCTAGTCAGCTTATAAATGGCAGAGGATTTCTTATTAGCCAAGACCCTTTTTGTTGAAAGTAATAGAAAAACTAGTTTAAACAAAATAACACATGTACTGACTTGTGTAACTAAAACAAACAAATGGTGTTACTAACTGCAGGTAAACTGGGTCCCAGACTTCAGATGGTGTCCCCAGGACTCGGTTTGATTTCTGGGCTCTGTTTTCCTCTGGGTGGACTTCTGCTCTAGGCAGACCCCCTTCAAGTAGTTGTTCTGAGCAGCTCCAGGCTTACATTATTTCTACAGCTGCCAATCACAGTGGGTAGAGAAGTTAGGAAAACCCCAGCAAAGTCCCAGGATGCAAGCCTCACTGGAGTTACTAGGGGTTAATTCCCTAACTGGCTTAGATGGATGGGCAAGAGCCTGCTTCTCTCCGGGGCCAAGCTGGTGGAACCCACAGATTAGCTAGGCCAGGTCACGTGACCAAATCTAGTGGTAATCCAGGTAGGGCTCAGCCCCGTCTGCATGCGTGGGTTGAGGGTGCAGGTATCCCCAAAGAGGAACCCAGGCACTATCCTTGAAAAGAGAAATGCACACTAATCAGCCATGACCATCACTGTCTCCTGTGGTTTCCCAAGGATCGACGGGGTTACCTTTCCACCTGCAGTGATCCAGCCTCCCCACAGACGGGCCCTGCACAGCCCCAAATGCTGTGAAGAGATGTGAGACAGAAAGAAATGACTGTACATTTCTGCTTCCAATGGTGCAGACATTTGGAGGAATTAGCCTGGGGGAGGAAAGGGCCTGATGGGAATGTTTTCACTTGTAAAGTGTTTTAAACTTATCCTCAGCTGAGTTCTCTTCCAAGTGACATCTTTAGCTTTCTAATTAAGGTCCCCTCTAAACAAATGCACAGGCTCTGTGAGCTGCTCTGAGAATACACTTTTCTCTCCTTTCTATGTCCTGTTTTGTGACGACCTCAAGTTGCTTTAGCTGAAGAGGCTCCCCAGTGTTGGTGTCAGGGCCTGAGGAGACATACGCGATTCTGATATTTTTGCCNGTGTGTGTGTGTGTGTGTGTGGTAGTGAATAGAGGTGTGCGGGTGGAGGTGGAGAGGGATAGATGTTTCCAGAAATGGAAGCATTTGAATTCAGGATTTAAAAAAATTCTTTGGACTTGACAATAGTTATCACATGGCATGTTTTACCTAGATGGGAAAGCTACACTGTTACGTAACACTCTGTGCTTATAAAAAAGAAGGCAGGGGGTCAGGGGAGGCCTTGACTAATGAGGCTGAGCTAAGTCCAGCGTTTTGCAGAGATACTTGAAATGGGGATGTCACAGAGTCCCATCTTTGTCCAAACCAGGCCTTGAATTTTCATTGGCAGCTTCCTATTGAAACTGGAAACGTCACACACATGCACACACACACACACACACACACACACACACACACACACACACTCATTGTGACCATTAAAAGGACCCCTCCCCCATCCCATTATGTTCTAAGTCACATAAAACTTTGATTAAATTCAAATGCTTAGATGAATTGTGTCTCCTCTCAAGAACACACACATTCCATTTAATTTCTCTTGGTATTTTAAGTATCAAATCAAATCTCTGCTGTCACTGGAGACAATGACATGCTCACATGTTCCAAAATGGGAATGAAGTAAGGAAGATCTGCCAGAAAAATCCAATCTAGTCGGGCACAGATTCTCACGGTCTCAGGCTATGTGGGGCTGGCTGATTCGGGCCAATGTGGCTTCACTTCCCTGAGCCCCCATTTCTGCATGTGCCCAATGGGGTTCCATAGGCTACTATTTCCTGAGAGGGTCTGGGGGAAATTAATGCATGTATCTCAGACGCTTGCTCGGCCCAGTGCTGGCTCCTACCACGCATCAGAGTAAGTGAGGTTCTGCTCGGTGCCTGCTCACGGTCTGCTCTCTTCTCTCCCCCTTTCTGATTTTTCAGGGTAATCAGGAAGCAGCCGCTGCCCCTGACACAATGGCTCAGCCTTATGCTTCGGCCCAGTTTGCACCCCCTCAGAACGGCATCCCCGCGGAATACACGGCCCCTCACCCCCACCCCGCGCCAGAGTACACGGGCCAGACCACCGTCCCCGAGCACACGTTAAACCTGTACCCTCCCGCGCAGTCGCACTCGGAGCAGAGCGCAGCGGACACGAACGCACAGACCGTCTCGGGCACCGCCACAGTAAGTGGGCTCTAGCCCTGGGGGGGCGACAGGGGTGCGCAGGGTGCACCGCCGTCCAGGTCCTCAGCCCCTCCGGGTCATACCAGCTCCCCAAAGGTCGCCTCACCTACACCTTTTTTAAAATATATATATCAGTTTTATGGAGATAAAATGCACATACCTTAAAATTCATTATTTTAGGTATACAATTCACTGATTTTGAATATATTTAGAGTTGTGTGACCATCACCACCATCTAATTTTGGATTATTTCCATGGCTCCCAAAACAGTCTTGTGCCCACTTGCAGCCACTCCCCATGTGTGCCTCTGTCCTCTGATGGCCTCACGTATTGGAGGTTCATCCCTACATCCTGTTTTATCTGCTGAGCCATAGGGTAGGGACGGCAAAGAGGCAGCGGGAGAGAATTCTGAATTTTGTGGGGCGCTGGACCTGTTCTGTATTGTCATGGTGGTGGTTACAGGACTGTAGACACCAAAAAGATCACATTTCATTGCATGTGGATGGATTCAGTGGATTAAAAACAGGCAAACAAAAAGGAAACATTGCCACCATCAATGAAAAGTGCGGTTGTATTAATCAGAGATAACCCTCGATAAAAACAATTATTGTAATTTGACAATATGACCTAAAATAACCATGCATACCACAAGATGTCAATGTGCCTCTGGGAAACCCTGTTCTGCAGAATTGTTCAGAAAGCCTGGGCACACACGCCTCTCATCTAGAATGTTCTGTAAGTACAGGGCAATTCTACCTCCTCCTGCCCCCAGGCCTCTGAAAAACAAGTATGTGTGACATTTGTACGTTTGAAGCATGATGCATTTCTTGCTACCTAATACTTCATTTGGAGTGTTTAAAAGAACATACATTACAACATTTTCTGTTGCCTGTCTTCCCTTATGTATTGTGGTGAAATGCATCTGTAACAGAAAATGTATCATTTGAATCATTTTAATGTATACAGTTCCTTGGCATTGAGTATATTTGCAATTCAGTGCAAACATCACCCTTTTCTAGGTCCAGAACAGTTTTATCACCCTGATAGACACCCCATACCGATTAAGCAGGCACTCCCCATTTCTCCCTCCCACCAGCCCCTAGTAATCACGAATCTGCTTTCTGTCTGTATGGATCTGCCCATTCTAGATATTTTGTAAACATGGAATCATATCATAGACAACCTTTTGTGTCTGGCTTCTTTCATGTAATAGGACATTTTCAAGGCTTACCCACGTTGTGGCATGTGTCAGTACTTTATTCCTTTGTATGAGTTTTTACTCCTTTTTATTGTATGGCTGTGTCACGTTGTTTACCCATTCATTTAACCTATGGGCATTTCCACCTTTGGCTCCTGTGACTCGAGCTGTAATGTGGCTTCCAACTTAGAGATGAGTTCATTATGGCTTTGCTGGATTAGCGGGTCTTCATTACTGTGTTTTGACTACCAGCTGGTGGTGATGGGTTGTTGTTTGTTCGTTATTTTGTGACCATCAATGGTGGCAGAGCTTGAGAACATATTGGAAGACTGAGGAAAGGTCCAATCTGACATTATTCATTAAGCCTCAACCTGTGCTAACACTGCTAACCTATTGTGGGAGAGTCAATCATTCATTCACAAACATTTATTAAGCATTTACTGGGGCCAGGACTCAGAACAGGTGATGTGCAGAAGTGGTCTTTGTGCTCTGATAACAGCTTGAGAGATGGAGAGTGAATACGTGGTGATCAAACAGCTATATAAACACAAATTTTGGTACGTGTCCTTCAGGAAAAGACAGGTGCTATGGGAAGATTAGAAAGAGCAGGGGTGCCCCCTGCAAATGAGTAGTTTGGAAGAATTTCTTCAAGGAGATGATAGTTACGATGAGAAGACAAAGCTTTCCAGGCTGAAGGAATTCCAAATCCAAAGGTCCCGAGAGTGAAGAGAGACATACTTGGCTTCTTCAAAGAATGAAAAGGAAGCCAGCATGTCTGGGGCATGTGAAGAGGGTTTGGGGGGCAGTGGCAAAGGACGAAACAGGGTTTCATTGACAGACTTCACTGGCTTGGATGGGGGCTTCAGTAAGGGGGTGGAATTCCATGTTAGAAACAATTGAAAAGAGTTTAAGCCGAAGATTTATAAAATGAAATTTTAAAGGGAAAAGCTAATGATGCCTGCGTAAAAGAAGATCTTAATCTAGCTGGAGAGCTGGATGTTCAACATCGTTGTCTCACAGAACAACCTCATTAAGAGATCAACACCGCCGTATGTAAACAGGCTGGGTGTCCACAGGGCCCCAGGCACTGGTCTGGGGTGACAATGAGGAATCTGTTCTCTTCCCTTAGATTTGGGGCCACTAGAGAATGTAGGATATGTGTTCTGTTAATTGTTGTGATGTGACAGGTTCTAGAGGGTGCATCTTCAAGGCTTTAGTGTGTTATGGTAACGGAAGAAAACTCCCTGAAGGGTCTGTCTCCCACTCATGGCTGAAGGGGTGTTCATTTCAGAATCTCCAGTTACAAGCAACAGAAAACTCGGCAGGGAATACTGGCTCATACAACAAAAAGTCTTGAGAGAGGGCTGGCTTTAGACACTGCCTGGCTCCTGGCATGTTGGCATGCCTCTGTTGGGTTCCAACAGGACCCATCTCTGGCTCTCTTTCCTCTTGCTCAGCTCCATTCTTTTTTCCTGCATGTTCAGAGACTTGACATCACATTCGATTCCTCGTGAAAGACTCTTCGATTAGTCCCATGTAAGCAAGCCCTGGGAATCACTGTCTCTCCCTGGTCTGCATGGAATTAGATTAGTTCAGCAGCTGGAGCTGAGAATGAGTGTCTCAGCCCTGGGGCCACTGAGGAACCTCCTACCCAAATACACAGACCAAGGATGGTTCCACCAGGCCACTGATAAGGTGCCTTTGGAGCTTCTCATTAAAGGCATTAAATGGACAGAAACTGGGCAGAACTGAAGGTAGTCTGGTGAGCCATTTTTAGGGAGACTTGAGTGGATACATTCACCAAGTAAAAGGACTGGAGAAAAGAGCAGGGACAGATCCTTGGAGAACTCATAGGTGGTGAGGTTTGGAAGAAAAGGAGCTATGGAATGAGACCTAAATGAGGTGTCCAAACTGGGGGTTGCACTGTGAGCTGAAGCTGGCAATTTGGACACCACTAAAGACCCAGGAGAAAGCAATGTGCTCATCATATTGACCAGAGATGCCAGGGGGCTAGGAGTCCAGAAGCAAATGGAGGGTATGGAAGTCATCAGAGACGGCCCATCACAACATTCTAGATATTTTGTAAACATGGAATCATATCATAGACAACCTTTTGTGTCTGGCTTCTTTCATGTAATAGGACATTTTCAAGGCTTACCCACGTTGTGGCATGTGTCAGTACTTTATTCCTTTGTATGAGTTTTTATTCCTTTTTATTGTATGGCTGTGCCACGTTGTTTACCCATTCATTTAACCTATGGGCATTTCCACCTTTGGCTCCTGTGACTCGAGCTGTAATGTGGCTTCCAACTTAGAGATGAGTTCATTATGGCTTTGCTGGATTAGCGGGTCTTCATTACTGTGTTTTGACTACCAGCTGGTGGTGATGGGTTGTTGTTTGTTCGTTATTTTGTGACCATCAATGGTGGCAGAGCTTGAGAACATATTGGAAGACTGAGGAAAGGTCCAATCTGACATTATTCATTAAGCCTCAACCTGTGCTAACACTGCTAACCTATTGTGGGAGAGTCAATCATTCATTCACAAACATTTATTAAGCATTTACTGGGGCCAGGACTCAGAACAGGTGATGTGCAGAAGTGGTCTTTGTGCTCTGATAACAGCTTGAGAGATGGAGAGTGAATACGTGGTGATCAAACAGCTATATAAACACAAATTTTGGTACGTGTCCTTCAGGAAAAGACAGGTGCTATGGGAAGATTAGAAAGAGCAGGGGTGCCCCCTGCAAATGAGTAGTTTGGAAGAATTTCTTCAAGGAGATGATAGTTACGATGAGAAGACAAAGCTTTCCAGGCTGAAGGAATTCCAAATCCAAAGGTCCCGAGAGTGAAGAGAGACATACTTGGCTTCTTCAAAGAATGAAAAGGAAGCCAGCATGTCTGGGGCATGTGAAGAGGGTTTGGGGGGCAGTGGCAAAGGACGAAACAGGGTTTCATTGACAGACTTCACTGGCTTGGATGGGGGCTTCAGTAAGGGGGTGGAATTCCATGTTAGAAACAATTGAAAAGAGTTTAAGCCGAAGATTTATAAAATGAAATTTTAAAGGGAAAAGCTAATGATGCCTGCGTAAAAGAAGATCTTAATCTAGCTGGAGAGCTGGATGTTCAACATCGTTGTCTCACAGAACAACCTCATTAAGAGATCAACACCGCCGTATGTAAACAGGCTGGGTGTCCACAGGGCCCCAGGCACTGGTCTGGGGTGACAATGAGGAATCTGTTCTCTTCCCTTAGATTTGGGGCCACTAGAGAATGTAGGATATGTGTTCTGTTAATTGTTGTGATGTGACAGGTTCTAGAGGGTGCATCTTCAAGGCTTTAGTGTGTTATGGTAACGGAAGAAAACTCCCTGAAGGGTCTGTCTCCCACTCATGGCTGAAGGGGTGTTCATTTCAGAATCTCCAGTTACAAGCAACAGAAAACTCGGCAGGGAATACTGGCTCATACAACAAAAAGTCTTGAGAGAGGGCTGGCTTTAGACACTGCCTGGCTCCTGGCATGTTGGCATGCCTCTGTTGGGTTCCAACAGGACCCATCTCTGGCTCTCTTTCCTCTTGCTCAGCTCCATTCTTTTTTCCTGCATGTTCAGAGACTTGACATCACATTCGATTCCTCGTGAAAGACTCTTCGATTAGTCCCATGTAAGCAAGCCCTGGGAATCACTGTCTCTCCCTGGTCTGCATGGAATTAGATTAGTTCAGCAGCTGGAGCTGAGAATGAGTGTCTCAGCCCTGGGGCCACTGAGGAACCTCCTACCCAAATACACAGACCAAGGATGGTTC